AGAAGCTGAGGTTGGCGGGGGGATCCCTGACTCTTCCTGACTAGGTGAATGCCTCTAAGCCTACGCCCACCCTCACACTAAAGCAGAGATGAGTGGCATCTTCCCTCTTCTGCTGAGTGACATCACAGCCCTAGAAACCCTCTGAGCCAATCAGAAGACAAGACGAAAGCTCAGACTACCTCCTCCTCCTGCCCGCCTACCACCGCCTACCAGCCACCAACACTCTCCCTCCTCGGTCCCCATGGAGACACATCTTACCTGCCACATTTTTTACAAGGGAAAGTGTTCTCCTGATTCTGGGTCTTATTAAATGTCTCTGTTTTCTTCTTCTTCTCTGCAAAAGGCAGTGCCCTCCGTGGCTTCCCCGGCCCCTCCCTTGGCTTCTCTGAGGCCTGGCCACCAGCAGACCCAGGGGCGTTGGGCTCATGGCTTCGGAGGATGAGGATGTCATTGGCCTGGAGAGAATCAAACAAAGAGGCGTTGAGAGATCTGGGGAAGACAGGATCCCAAATTCTGAAATTTTAGGGAACAGAGGACTCCTAAAGGTCAGACACTTCCGCCCTGGCATTCTCTTGAATCCTTCCAGTGACAAGGCACTCACTGCCTTTTCAGCAACCCATTCCACCTTTGGCCAACTCTATCTTTACAAAGTAGCTGGTACGGTAATTGTGGGTCAGCCCTAGCCGCCACAGGACTTCTCCATGTATCTGACGGGACTTGGTGTCTCAATGAATGACACACGTGTTCATGTTGCAGTCATGTAGTCCATTCATGACCTGATTCCATCAGTGAGATTCAAGCCCATGTGATGCACAGGTGCTGGGGATACAAAGTGACAGACAGGAGCCCCTCCTTGGAGAGTGCACAGTCCCGTGGAAGGGGAAGATGTGAAGGCATCTAGTTCACGACACCATGAGCCACCATGGGAAACGCCAGGCAGGTGCCAGAGAGCAGAGAACAGACACCTTGTGCTGACCTGGAGAGGGGTGTTCAGGGCATGTATTCAGGGGCTAGGGGAGCCCCAGATGGCTATTAGAAGTCATAAGCATGTGTACTGGGTCGACCCTACAGGAAATGTTGACAAACGTCAGCAGAACTCCCGTGAGCCTGTCCACAGAGTGCACAACACCGAAATAAAAAACTCTCAGAGCAGTTTCCCCAACAAACTCATCTCCACCCTCTCTCGGGGGACCCTCCCTGACAAGAACAGCTCTGGCTGGAGGTCTTGCTTCTTGGCCTGTGATGTGGTGGACAGGGCACTGCACTAGGATCTGGGGTGGAACCTCAGGCAAGTCACTTAGTACCTGAGCCCGGTTTCCTCCCTCTGTCAAGCGAGGGTTCACACTGTATGGGGTTTTTGTGCAGAATTAATGAGATCGGGGCAGGAAAGCACTTTGCAGAGAACATGGGTGAGGGGCCATTATTACTACGCCAATGACCTCAGCTCAGTTCCAGACATTTTTGTCAGGGACACAGCTCTCTCAGGGGAGCCCTGCCTGAGCTACACCTCATGAATGCCTCCCCCATGTCCCACACACCTTCCGCGTTTTCATAAACCCTTGCTCACTAAGTCTCAGAGACAAAAGCGGTAGTGTGTGACATTTAATGGCAGCCTCTGGAGTCAGGCTGCCTACTAGCTATCTGACCTTGGGCCTCAATTTCCTCATCTGTGAAATGGGAACAATGGCAATACCTACCACATAGGGTTATGAGGATTAAATGAGTTAATAGCATCAGGCACAGAATACATTTCCTGCTCTTATGATGACAATCCTAGTCATGTTCCTGATCTGCCTTCCCTCCCACCCCCACGGGCCCAGCTCCAGCCCTTCTCCTGGTCCTGGGCTCCCCCAGTGGAGGTCACACTTACCGACTCATTGGCCTGTAGTGTCTGTGTGGCTTTGACAGCCGCTGCCCGCCGGCTTCTCTCTCGCCCCTCTTCCTGCTCCCCCTTCTCTTGGATCTCTGGCACCTCCTCCTCCCCCTCCTTCCTTGTCTCCTTTACTTCCCTCTTGGGCTCCAGCCTCTCTTCACTTGGGGACTCTCTTCTGGGAGCAGGCACCCTGGGGAACTTCTGGGAAGTCTATGGGGGACAAGAACAGGGGCAGTGACCATAGAGCTCAGCCACAGAGCTCAGTCATGCAGCCACAGAGCACGGACTCTGACCCAGCCAGGGCTCACTTGTCCCTGCGAGTCCTGGCCTGGCCTCCTGTGCTGACTCCACACCCTCCCTCCCCTAGTCCGCCTGGCAGAGAAGAGCGAGCTTTGAGCCCTGGGACCCTTCAGGATGAGACCGAGCACTTGAAATGCAGCCAGGGGCAGGGAGGGAGCATGCCAGGCCCTCCCCTCAGGCCACCTATCTTCCCGGGTGTGCTCAGGGACACATTCTTGGGCAGGGTGGTCTGGTGGAGCCAGGCAGCAACTTGAGCTCCATTCTCAACTACCTTGTAACGCTTTCTGTGTCTCCGCCCCCTTCCCATCTGCAGAATGGGGGCCGAACCACCCCATCTTAGAGCAGCATGTCACCCAGTGTGGGCTTATAGCCCCAGAAATGACTTCAGGTGGATACACAGACAGAATTAAATAACATTCTCTTTTCAATCCTCTTTCAATTCTGATTATGTTAAGGAGAAAGTCTCCAGTTCGTGTTAATGTGTCTTTTACACTTTTCCAGACTTAAAGAGAGGTCAGGCCTGTTTCCGAGCCTTGGCAGAGAATACTATCTGGCTAGAATTTAATAACACTGCTTGACTTTCACACACTAATTTTTACTAGAACCGTCTGTGCCAAGCAGTACTTGTTTTCTATGTATGACTGTGATATACAACTTGCCTTTAGAGTAAAAATGAGTTGATTTAAAAATATGAATAGCACCAGTGGTATGTGGAAATGACAGAAATAGTCATGGTAACATATGGTAGGATGCAGAAATAGCAGAAATCAAAAAGGTGATACATGAATGGCTAAAGTTTGGGAGACAGTGTTAGAGGTGTGCTATGAGGGGACAATAAATTGACGCTGGTGCAAATACTGCGGGAAATCTCCTCCAAGTTCTGTATCAACACAGGGTGTTATTACTACGTCACTGGCCAACAGAGAGGGGAACCCAAAGGCCCACGGCCAGTGCCCAGCCCAGGACATCAACAACTTGGGGCTATCAGGGACACTGCCTTCCTCTCTCTGCCCGCCAGGGACTCCTTCCTGGAGGGCTTGCCTTGGACCCAGCCCCAGCCCAGGCTCTCAGCAGCTGAGGGTGGGAAGGAAATCACCTTAATATCCACTTCAACCTCTTCCTGGACTGACTTATCGTCACTCGTATCCACATCCCCGAAGGTGAGCGTCCCATTGCGGCCAATTTTCACCTGCTTCTTGTAGGTGTAGTAGAACTCCACACACTGGGCCACAGTCTTGGTCTGGATCTGGTTGGAAACGAAAATGAGGTCAGAGTTCCAGGTTCAGCTCACCTGCCTGAGGATACGCCAGCCTTCCTCATGTCTCCCCTTAAACTTAGCAAACACTAAACTCAATCAAGATCCCAAACATAAGCATCTCTCTAACACCTGCTCTGACAAACCGCTGACCAATCCAACTAACCCAAGCTTCAGCACTACTTTTCTAAAAGCTAAAAAGTACACCATGAATAAAGTACCTTGGAAATATAAGAAAAGAAAAAAAAGTACACCATGGAGCCACTGGGGAGACTTGAATATGGATTGCATATTAGAGCGTGTTATTTATCAGTTTAAGTTTCTTTGATGATAATGCCACTGTGGTTTTACAGGAGAAAGTCCTTGTTTTTAGACAATATTTGGGTCGAGTGTCATGATGGCTGTAACTTACTTTTAATTATTAATGAAAACAGAGAGAACAGGCGCATGTTTAAGTTTATATATAGACAGAAAGGAAGCAAAGGTGGCCAATGTTAACAACTGGCATATCTAAGTGAGGGGCATACAGGTGTTCATTATACTCTTCTTTCAATTTTCCTGTAAGTTTGAACTTTTTCAAAATAAAAAGTTAAAGGGGAAAAATGTCTGGCCCTGGCACATGTGGCTCAGTTGGTCGGAGCATCATTCTGTACACCAAAAGGTGGCAGGTTCGATTCCCGGTCAGGGCACAGACCCAGGTTGCGGGTTTGATCCCTGGTTGGGTCGTATGCAGGAGATAGCCGATCAACGTATCTCTCTCACATCCATCTCTCTCTCTCTCCTTCTCTCTTTCTCTCTCTCTCTCCTCTTCCTTTCTCTAAAATTAAAAAATAAAAAAGATTCTTTAAAGGAAAATGCCTGGGCATCCTCCACATTCAAAGCCAGGACAGACCTGCAACACAGACTCTCTTCATCAGTGTGGACAAACAATTCCTCTCCTCTCCAGGGGCAGCGACGGACAAGGGAGGGCAGAGGAATGTCAAACTATCAAGGGAGGCTAATAAGCCCTGGAAAGCCCGAAAAGGAAGCAGGATGCCCAAATCTTGTTCCCAACTCTGCCCCCGAGTAGCTGTGTGGCCTTGGACAAGTCTCTTCATGTGTAAATAGTGAGTGGGGTGAGACCAGACGATCTAAGGGCCTCCCACGCTCTGAAGTCCTAGCCCTCCCATTTCACAAATCTATTTGGCCTCTGGATTTAGTTTCTGGGCTACTTTCCCCCACACAGAAAACACAGGCTGTTTTCTCTGACTCTCCTCACTCCCCCAGGCTCGCAGACTGCTCTGCCAGCTTCTGGGCAGCTCTGAGGTCCGATGCACAGAGCCCAAGGAGGCAGAGGGGGTCCTCTGGGCCTGAGGAGAAACAGACTTGCTCCATCTCCCAGGAATGGCCAAGTCACAACTTTATTAATTAGATCCCGTTTGCACGTTTACTGGCAATTCTCTCTGATCATCTGTTTGGCTACTGGTCTGTTCTTTTCATTAAGGCAGTAGGGGCTCCTGGAAATATTGCCCAATCAGGAACCCAGCAGATGTCTGTCCTCACAACAGGGCCCTTGTAGGAGAATTCATGAGCACTCTGTCCAGTCCCCAGAGCCATCCTTGGCACCATCTACCATCCCAAGAGGAAAAAGCCCGTTCTTGGAGCCCTTTTCCCTCAGTGGGCCACACAACTCACTCGCCCACAGCCCAGATTTTGCCAGACAGGGGTGGTGGGAAGGTGCACGTCTGCAAATTAGCAAAGCCCTTTAGTCCCCAGAAGAACACAGGGAGAGGACAAGATAAACCTAGGACAGCTAGGCTCCAGCCTCCTCTACCTGGTCAGCCGAGTTACCGGAAAGAAGCCCTGGGTCTGACAAGACGTAGGCAGAGGCCCCCACCCAGTTCAGTTACACAGTCACTTGTTGCTCTCAGTTCCCCTTATCGGAGGGTGACCTCTCCGCCCACAGACTAACTGTGGCCTTCGAGTGCTCCAGGCCCCTGGGGAAGGGCTCAGCTCGGCCTGCAACCCTCCTTCTCTTCTAGCTCTCCCTTGGGTAAGCCACTATTTTAAGTTGTTGTGGGGGGTTTTTGTTTGTTTGTTTTTGTTAATCCTCACCCAAGGATATTTTTCCATTGATTTTTAGAGAGTGTGTAAGGAAGAGGGAGAGACAGAGAGAGACATTGATGTGAGAAAAACACATTGATTGGTTGCCTCATGCACACACCCCAACCAGAGCTGGGGAACCTGCAACCAAGGGTCGTGTCTTTGACCAGAATCAAACCCAGGACCCTTCAGTCCACAGGCCGACGTTCTATCCACTGAGCCAAACCGGCTCGGTTTTGTTTGTTTTTTTAAAGTATATTTTTATTGATTTCAGAGAGGAAGGGTGAGAGAGGTAGAGACATCAATGATGAGAGAGAATCATTGATTGACCACCTCCTGCACACCCTCCACTGGGCATGTGCTCTGACTGGGAATTGAATCAAGACCTCCTGGTTCACAGGTCGACACTCAACCACTCAGCCATGCCAGCCCGGCACCACTATTTCAAGTTTGATGCCACTGAGTCTGATACCCATTCAGGCTTCTCTCTGGATAAGACCCCAGGGTGTGGCCACACTATCCTAAGGTGAGGGAAGGGGGCTTAGAATCAAGGGCTCCGGGGAGTCCTTACCCGCCCCCCCCTCCTCCCCCCCGCTTGTTTTGTTTACAAAATTCTCTGAGGCTACTTAGTGCATTGAATTAAGTGCTTTCAAAGAGGGCTTGGTAAGCGACTGCAGGCCACCACTGGTAGGGGGACCCCAAATCCTACAGGCAGCTCCTGCCCTCACTTGCCCCTTAGACAGAGCTCCAGCTCACCAGCTTCTGCACCAGGAAGAAATCCTTCTTGTAGATGGCAATGCCCTTGTTGAACAGCTTCCTCTCAGACATCTTCCACTGGTCAGAGCCTGCGGGGCAAACAGGAAGCCGGGGTAGTGAAGTGGGAGGACTGTGAGCATCACGGGGGGCGATTCTGACCAGCTGACAAGTCAGAGCTGGCTCCACAAACTGCTTCTGCCACTTACTAGCCCCGTCACTTGGCCCTGAACCTCACTCTCCTCACTTGTGAAGCGGGAACTAATAATAGAAGCCGCCCCCCCAGTTGTGCAGACTGAATGAGGTCATGCATGTGAGACCCTTGGTGCCCAGCCTGGCACAGACGACATGGACCACTCCACAGGGATCGGGAACAGTAGCTGCTATGATGATGCCCAGTGGTCCGTGTCCCTCTTAAAGCACAGGGTCCAGAACGGGACATGGCACTCCAGGGGTTGGCTAAGTTCCAGGTACCGGATGCCAGTTTGGATGGCAGTCCCCGGATCCCTGTCCCTTGTACTGTGTCCTGGGTTTCCTTGCCTGGACGGGCTCCCACCTGCCCACACCCTCCTGTCTTCCTCTCCAGGGCACAGTTAGCCCCTTGAGAGCTACCCCAGCTTTGGAGTCAATGCTTTGGCTCTTGGCTTACCCACCCGCCATTTCCTCCACCCAGGGCTGTGACTCAGCACTAAGTGGGCCCCACTGATGGGAGACCCTTTGAGGCTCCAGGCTGACCCACCCCCCAGCAGGCCCACCTGTGTAGTGATAAGTTGCCAGTGGGTGGTTGTGGGGCCTCAGCGGCTTCTTCAGTAGCAGCTTATTCAGCGTTTCCTTCAAGGGGAGTGAAGAAAAGTCAGGGCCCTGGCAGGGTTTCAGTGGGCAAAACTTAGAGGGCCTCCTCAGGCAATCACAGCTGCGGAAGGCCCTCGGTGCCGCTCTGTCGGAGGCGGGGACCCAGTGACCCAGAATCAGGGACTGGGGTGGATGGCACGACCCTGTGCTGCAAAGTTTAGAACTGGGGTTTCCTTGGGCTGAGCCCCTACAACCCCCAACTTGGTTGGACCCTCCAGCCTGTTTCAAATCAGCATGTGAGCAGGCCTGGCTCCTGGGCAGCGGAGATGGATCCAGGCCAGCCTCCTCGAGGGCCCGTCCCTCCACTGGGGGCGGAGTCTCACCAGGATGTCTCCCCTGGACTCGTGCAGGCAGTGCAGGGCCAGCTCCTGGTTGGTGCCAGCTCCGGGGAAGATGCTGGAGCAGGCAGCTGTCAGCAGGTCTTCCACTGCATTGTGGGAGCGAGGGAGGGAGGGAGCGTGGGGAGGGAGGAGAGGAAATCACTTTCAGGGCAGGCTGGGCTGGGCGGGTTACGACCAGCCCACCCACCTACCCAAGACCATCTTGGATTGCTGGCTCAAGCCCCCTCTCACCTTGCCTCTGCTTCTCCCGGCTGCTCTCTAGGTCCTCCCATGGCTGCCACACCAAGTCGGCCTTGTGGGTCTCCCTGGGGAACGGGAGAAGATGCAGAGGGCAGCTGACAGGCAGAGCATGGCAAGGCCTCAGCTGGGTCTAAGGCAGCGGTTCTCAACCTGTGGGTCGCGTCCCCTTTGGGGGTCGAACACACCTTTCACAGGGGTCGCCTAAATACATGCTGTATATCAGATATTTACATTATGATTCATAACAGTAGCAAGACTACAGTTATGAAGTAGCCACGAAAATAATTTTATGGTTGGGGGTCACCACAACATGAGGAACTGTATTAAAGGGTCGCGGCATTGGGAAGGTTGAGAACCACTGCTCTAAGGCAATCTGGCTTCTGGGAGGACACCGGGCAAATGGCACCAAGTGCTGCCAGAAAAGCACGGCCCCGGTGCTGGGAAGGGAGGAAGGAGTTCCAGGTTTACAGGCGGGGAAGGAGTCTCTCCGACTACCCTTCTAATTCTCAGAGGCAAATGCAAACCAGGCCGGCCCCTTCCTTTTCCTGCAACTTCCACACAGAAGCAGGGCGAGGAAAAGAGAGCCCAGGGAGGCCGCCCAGTCCTCTGCAGGCCCTGCAGAGCCCTCTTCTCCTCCAAGGGCCTGAATGCCTGGACCCCATTGGCCACCCTCACACCACGGGCCAGAGGCAGGGCTGCACTTACGGCTCGATGCTCACTGGGGTGGCTTCCCCCATCACAGAGAGGACAGGTGGGGTGACTTCGGCACTATCTAGGGGACAAAAGGCAGGTTGGTAGACCGTACCCTCCTCCCTTCAGCAAAGCCCTCCCTCCCCAACCCTAGGTGGCTGCTCCCAGCATTAGAACCACAGTGGTGACTCACAGAGGTTCACACCTGGAAATCAGGCATCCTGCGTCTCGGCTCCCAGCCTGCCATGGTGACAACTGACTGCAACTTTACTAAATATGTGGGTGCCTTCATTTTCCACACCCACTGAAAGGGGCTCCTACGGTTAATAATGTGAGGAGTGAATGAAATCATGCATAAAACCTAGCCCTGGGAGCTCCCCACACGCCAGGTTAACTCTGACATGAAGCTGTGGTTGTACTCATAAGGCGGCCGAAACTTTCTGCACCTCAGTGAGGTGGTGAAGGAGATCGCTGTTGCATAATTGTGTTCTCACTTCCTTGCTGGGTTCTCTGCCTCGGTTTCTCAGGAGCTAATCTCCTAATGCCTCACATGATCAAGAGACACTCCCTTGCTGCAAACACACAATCTTTGCCGACTCCTCTCTGCAACGTGAGCTAAAACCTGCACTCCTCAGCAGTCCCCTTCCACCTGGGCCTCCCACCGCCTCCCGCCTGGGCCCTGGGTCCCAGCAGGCTGGTTACACGTGGGCCCTCACTTTCCCTGCACAGTCTTACCTCCATGTCTCGGTCCCACTCCTTTCCTCTGCCTAGAGTGTCTTCCCCGCCCCTTCACAGTTCAAGCTCAGCTCTCGCCCCACCCTCTCGTGAATGCTTTCCTCCCTACCCCAGGCCAGCAGCCTCTGCGGGTTTTGGAGCTTAGGGTCTGCTTCACTCACTGATCCCACACCGCAAGGAGCCTCTGCTTTTCTGTCTCCCAGGCCTCCGTGTCAACTCTCTAACGACCCCGCATTTTCCCTAGAACAGACCATGGTGTCCCCCTATATCACTGGCGCCCTCAGAGGATCCGATTTGAGGCTTTACGCCCAAGTTCTTGGTAAGTATTCATGCATGGACAGATCTTTCCTTTGCTACTAATCTGGTCTCTACAGCGACTTCTTCCTGCACAACCCAGGCAGGGAGAGCAGCTTTGAATCTTGGCGTGGACGCGTGAGGGCAGAAGGCCGGCCAGCCCAGGTGGGCCGTTTCTCACTCACAGACACCAGGGGGCACCAGAGAACTAAGCCATGAGTGAGGTCAGGCTCCGAGGTTAATCTGGTGATGGCACTGCCTCACCCCTGTGCTATGCCTGGTAGTATTTACTCCCACTGAATCCTCTCCCCACCCTAGGAGATAGCATTATCACATCCTTCTGGGAAATGGATCTTTTTGTAGAGCGGGCAACATTTTTCTACAATTCAAACCCACGCGAGCCAAACTGTCTGCTCTTGGCCAAAATGACCGAGGAGAAAGGATCTGCCACGTAATATTAAGAACAAACATGACGCATCAGGCATGAAATTACGTGCTGTGCATATGGCAATGCATCTGAACCTCACCACAATCCTCTGAGGTAGCTAAGCTATTAGGTTGAACCATAGGAAACTACTGTATGTGGACCTAAAAATAGTTGAATGTTGGCAATTTCATCATCAACCAAACATTACACTAATGTTCTCATCTAAACACTGAAGAAGCTGATGCCCAGGGAGTGTAAACGACTCGCACAGGGGATGTAACAGTACATGGTGCAACTGGGATTCGAACCCAGGCCGCGAGGCTGACACCCCTCCTCCACCCACATTTATTCTTGAACCAGGACAACTTCCTTCTCTTTCTCAGAGATGAGAGTGGAGCCCCTTTTCTCAGCATTCCAACCCAATCCCCAGCAGCCCCATAAAATGAGTCTCATCCCTGCCCACTGCCTTCCCTCTCCACATGGCCCCTGAGGCAAGGGTTACTCACTCGACCGGAGCAGGGTGCGGTGGGCACTCTTTGGCGTGATGGGAGGAGGGGCTGGGATGCTGCTCGTTGACATGATGGCATTGAAATAGAGGCCGGAGCCTTCCCGCACGGGGCTGAGGATGGGAGGTGGTGTGTAGGGGGGCAGCTCAAAGCTCCGCTCAGCAGGGTGGTCAGCCAGGCGGACAGGAGAGCGCAGGTGGCTCTGGTATGGGGTGATGTTGGAGTACACCGGAGGGGCGATGAAAGTGCCTGCCTTGGTGGGGATGATCAGGGGCTCAGGCCTCGGCCGCTGCTTTGGTTTCCGCACCGAAGGTTCCCCCTCCAACTTGACATTCATGTCTTCAGCCTGGAGAAGGAAACAGAAACAAGACGGCTCAGCCTCCTACGTCCTGGGATGCTGAAGTCTGGACCACTGCTTGCTGGTCTCACCTTTGAAACTTAGTCTGCCCACCGCACCCATCAAGGCAAGCCTGAGACAGGTGGCAGGTCCCAGCAAACTGTTTCTCTCAAGGGCCAAACAGTCCATTTAGGCTTTGCGGACCACATGTCGTCTCTGCTATAAATTCTTCTTCTCCCCAGTCCCCACAGCCCCATTTTCAAAAATAATCCTTTAAAGATATTAAAACCATTTTTTACGTCTGAATTTGGGCCACAGCCCATAGTTCCTGCTGTAAAGTATGCTGTAGGGCAGAAGACTATAGTTAAGGGCCCAGGCCCTGGAGCTGGATTGCTTGGATTGAGATCCACCTCCCTTACCTACCACTTATAGTAAATTACTTAACTCTCTGTGTATCATCATTTCTAACATGGGTATAATAAGTGCCTACTTAATGGGGTATCTATGAGGACTAAATGAATTAATATTGGAAATCACTGAGGACAGTACCTGGCACATAGTAATTACTCAATACATACTGGCTGCTATCACTACGTAAACTCTAGGCATTAATGGAAACCCCTCTCCCCCCGCATGTGACAAGACCTGAGCTGGGCATGGGGCCCATGTCTAACAAAATTCACAGGAGAGTTCTTCCTTGAAGAACTTTTATTTCCCCATTGATTTGTTTTTTCAGAGAGAGAGTGGAAGGGAGGGAGGGATGAGGAAGGAGAGAAACATCGATGTGAGAGAGATACATCGATTGGTTGCTTCCCACACACACCCTGACCGGGGCCAGGGATCGAACCTGCAACCCAGGTACATGCCCTTGACCGGGAATCGAATGCGTGATGTACTTCAGGTACAAACCAAAGTATTTATAGTTGCAACAGTATGATGTTGGGGATTTGCCTCTAAACATCCAGTGGCAGGGAGAAGTGGAGGTACAAATGAAAAAAGATCGACTATATTCTGATGGCTAAATATCGGGGTCGATTATAGCATTCTCCATATTTCTGTGCAAGATTGAAAAAGTCTACTACAAAGAAAAAATAACTAAATAACTAAATTTAAACCTTCCCACA